CGGGTTGTGCGGGGGCGGAGGCCGGTGGCTGGCATGGGGGCGTGGCTTGGGGAAGGAAGTCACACCTCGCCTCCGCCCTGACCGGGATGGGCGGAGTTCGCTCCAGCTGAGTTGCCTGCAGGGCGACTTTGGTTTGAGGGGCTGTCTCGTTGTTCACCGCCTCCTTTAGGAGTGAAGTGGACACAGGCCGAGGATTGAGAAGGGGAAATTCTGTCCTCCAACCGCGGTCCCCGCGCCCTGCAGCGGTTGTGTCCCGAGTGTGGTGGCTATGGGGACTTGGAGAGCATCAGAATCCCTTGGAGGGCTTGTTAGAACAGACTGCTGGGACCCTCCCGTGGTTTCTCATTCTGTGGGCCTGGTGTGGAACCCATGAATGTGCATTTCCAGCAAGTTCTCTGTGATGCTGCTGCTGGTCCACACCTTGAGAACCCCTCAGAACAGGCTATATCATCAGGGAGCTGGGGTACGATCAGATAAGATAGTGCGTGTGAAAAACACTGGACGTGTGCAGATAGAGATGTACAGCGCCTCCAGGATGTAGCCCCATGTTTTTATTCACTGTACAGTAGTTTACTTCTCTCCAGTTGCTTCCTCACTGGTAGGAGGAGAGTGGCTTCTCTTCCCTAAACTTTTTGATAAAATAGTTTACTTCTTTTCCTTAATTAACTATATGACCTCTACCCCCACCCACCCCCCACAACTTCATGGAAAATTACTTTCTCAGCGCTCTTTCCTGAAATTATTGCCAAACCCAGTGATTCTTTCATTCTTCACCCTCTTTGCCTCCTCTGAGCATTGAGTGTTACGTCTCTCCTTGAATCCTGGCTCCAGCTATCCTGGTTACGCTCTGAATGTGGCTTCGCACGGTATTTACTGATCTTTTTTTCTACTGACACCTTTTCTCTCTGCATACTTTCTTCCGTGGCAGTCTTATACATTCTCAAGGATTTAACATTTACTCCACTTAAAAGAGTTCCAAGATCATCTACTGAATCATTAAGCAAATATTTGTTAAATCCAGGCTCTATGCCCTTCCAAGTTCAGGCAACAGCAGTGGGAAGGAGGCAGGAAACAAACTGATCTGTTGGAGGAACCTCAAGAAGCTGGTGTGACTGGGAGGGCAGTGGGGAGCAGAGGGAAGTGGCCGGAGTCGAATCTCTTAAGTGTCTAGCCCCATCCTTTCTCCCAAGGCTCCAGTCCACACTATCTGGCATCTTCACTTCATGGCTGGTTTAACACTATCAGTGCTGTCGATTGCTCTTCCCCGGGAACTGTATTTTTCACATCTGAAGTTCTGTTAAAGGACAACATTTCACAAATAAAAATGATAACTAATATGCACCTGTATGTATCAGGCACTCTTCTAAGCACTTTATATAGTAACCCCATTTGATCCCGAAAACTACCCTATAATGTAGACACTATTATTAGTCCCATTTTACAGATGGAAAAAACCGAGGCATCGAGGTCAAGTAACTTGTCTAAGATCATAGAGCTAGTAAATGGAAGAGCTCCAGTTGAAGCCAGGCAGTCTAGCTTCACCATTATAATGCACTGCCTCACCACCAAGATCTTATTTATTCATTCAGCAAATATTTATTCAGCTAGAGACCAGTAGAGATAGTGACACGTCAGGCCTATGGCCTCACAAAGCTTATCTTCTATTTTTGCCACGTTTTAAAATTGCATCATCTTACCCCAGTACCACCTTGATTTAGGCATCTATTACCCCTAACTTAATGGGACTTTTGCAATAACTTCCTAACTCTACCATCCCCTTTCTCAACATTGCCAGAACAATCTTCTCAACTGCAACCTGAATCATTTCTCTTCACTGTTTAAATGCCTCTGTTTATACCCAGGGATAGCTCTGACCAATGTTTTTTGGCTTTACTTCCCATCACATTTTTGGTTCTTAACCTGCTATTACCATCCATTGTGGGGTATGTAGCAAATGATTTTTGACTAAAAATGGTTATTAAAGTAAGCAGATTATTTTCTTTAACTTGTAAAGTGTATTAAAGGTTTTCCTGAACTCCTGGCCTCAAATAATCCTCCCACCTTGGCCTCCTAAAGTGTGGCGGTTACAGACCACGCCCTGCCACTTACCTTTTCTCTGCTTTTGGGTGCACCCATGGGAATAGGTACCGTGCAGCTAGCAGGGGAAATGTTGTTTGTAAATTGTATTATGGTAGAAAAAGTTTCCAAACAATTGAACTTCATGCTTTGGTCAGACAGGACATGTCATGTCTTGACCTTTCTTGAGATGTCCTTCCCTCATTTTCCACTGTCAAAATCCTACTTATTATTTCAAGCCTCATCTCAACTACTGCTTTTTTCCCTTAAGCCTTTCTTAGTCATGGATGTGAACCCATTCCTTCTTTGTAATTGGGACTGCAGGGATGAGCTACTGTGTCTGCTTTTTTTTTTTTTTTTTTTGGTGATGATGGTGATGATAGGGTTTTGCTTTGTTGCCCAGGCTGGTCTCAAACTCCTGGCCTTACGTGAGCCTCCCGCCTCAGCCTCCCAAAGTGCTGAGATTGTAGGTATGAATCACCACGCCTAGCCTTGCCCAGTTTTATGGTGGTTTTGGGAAAAGGATATGCTGATCTCTTCACTCTGCCATTGCTGTGAATCCCCCTTAGTACTTTTGGGTTTTAAAATTTTGAACTACTTAAAAAGAAAGATGCTAAGTGCAACATGTGAATGTGATACTGCTTTTAACTTCATTGATGGAAACGGATACTTAAGTGTTTCTTTTTCAAAAGCAAGCAACAATAGGTTTTTATTCCTAAGACTAGAAGAATGTCAAGGGCCTGTTTTGAAAAGCACATTGTTACCCTTGAAAAATGAGCTGGGGAAAGTATTTATTCCTATGCTTTGAGTCTTGTAGAAGCTTGCAGAACATCCTATGAACCTGGCTTAAATTGTAGCATATTTATATGAAATAGTTCTAGATACACACACCTATAGATGTATGCATATATTTATGTATGTATGTGTGGCTGGAAGTATTTTCATAGGCGCCACAAAATTTTTACAATGAAAAAGCTTTGAGGTACAATGAGCTTTTAAATAATGTCATTTTAGATTTTAAAAAGTGTTAAATATCATTCACTTGCTACAAATCTCATATATACCATTTATTTTACTTGCTGCATAGAATGATTTTAATAGTTATAATTATTAATAATATTTGACATAATCAAGATGAAAATAAAAATAAGCACTGCTTAGTTACATTAACATTTTGGTAA